GTTAAAGCTCATTTATATGTTGTGGTGATGTGGGAATTTTGAAAGGATAATACAGATCATAATGTTTTTTGTTGTTTTTCTCTCAGGTTTCGGACCACATAAGTCGTCTCCAAGATTTTGTAACAGCCATGACAAAACTTCAACCAGATGAACATGAATACGCTTATCTTAAGACCATAGTGCTCTTCCAGTATGGTGAGTTTTAGTTAATTTTTGATTCTGCATTCTCCTCTTTTTCTTTCTTCTTCTCTTTCTTCCTGTAAAATCAAGTAGGTTGTAATTTCAGATGTTACAAGCATATGTGAATGAAAGAGAAGTAAAAACTTGCATAGAGTGCATAAGAAATGTGTATTTTAGAAACTGGGGTAGAAAATCCACTGTACTGCTAGTGTTTAATATCTATCATTAAGTGCAAAAATGTAAGTTAATTTAATTATATAGATAATTACTTTTTTCTTTATTTCTAAAGGTTAAGTAACTGAATTGAGTCCAATTTTGACAAAACAAGAATAAAAATAGCATGTGATATTAACTACTCTAAAAAAACGTACCTTTTAACTGAGGCAGTTTCTGTATTAGGTGAGCCTCTCATCATGATTTTTTGTTTGTTTGTTTGTGTATTAGTTTTGCCCCAAATACTCACACTCCTTCTTCTCCTTTAGAAAATATCCAGGGAAGCAAGAGGAACCAGATAGAACGACTACAAGAAAGGGCAGCTCAGGAGCTAAGGCATCATGTGGAAGACACATACCCAGATACACCCGAGAGATTCTCCAGACTTCTCCTAAAGTTACCTCCACTCAGAGCACTTCAGCCCCAGGTATCAAAGAGATGGATGTCGAATCTGTATTATTGGGTGTAATTAAGATATCTTTTAGAAATATAGTTAAGTTGCATTGTAGATTGTTTCAATGAGTGGAGTTTAAAATGTTTATTTTCTGTAAGATATTGACATGAGCAATTGACTCGGAAGATTTTAGTTTGGTACTTGATACAAAACCTTGTTTAGATAAATATTATTTACTTATTTTTCCTCTAAATCCGATCAACTTTTAACTTTCATTTCCTTTTTTCCTCAGGTTATGGAGGAGCTGTTCTTTGCCGGTCTAATAGGAAATGTACAGATAGATTCTGTCATCCCATACATAATGAAGATGGAAATGACAGAGTAGTCAAGTGGAGTGACAATGATACAGAATTATTGGCCAAAGAAAGTGTTACTGTCTTGATGATAGTGAGTGCTGGGTAACGACGGCTCAGCATAACAAAGACAGTGCCGTAGTTTGTATCTGGTCAGACTCCAGAAGCATAAACAGAGAAAAACAAAAGACATTTTCCAAAGTTATGGTGTGTGTGGACCTCGGGCTTTGGGGCAAAAAAATGCAGTTTCATCTGAAAAAAAAAACTGGAAAGTTACAATAATGGCCGTGACGGTGATTGGTTGAGGATTATTTTAAAAGTAAAAATGAAAAATAAAAGAAGAAACCAGTGACTATTGTGCTATGGATTTGTACTTGATGGGCTTTTCCTAATGAGAAGGGTTTGAAGGTGGATACAACAAGTCCACACATATTTGGCCGTCATACTGTTTAACTAATTGCTAAAATTCTCAATAACGTGTGGATCATTGTTATTTAACCAGAATTCCCTTTCTTGTTTATCTCCATTGGATCAGGGTACTTTCATAAGCATTATCTTAAGTAATTTTGCAATTGATGTGTAGTACATTTCTCAACACGTACAGCCCAACACTGTATAATAACATGAAGACTGTTTTTCATTATCAGTACAGAAATGTGATTATAGGCCAGTTTTTACAATTGCTCCAGTGTTCATGGAAGACAATGACTGCAGTCAAGACAAGCAGCGACGAGTCACGTCCTTTTTTTTCATCAAACTCATTCATGTTGTACAATATGAATGCAAGCTTTTACCAAATTTCATGATCACACTGGTTTTGACCTCATTGAAAGAAAAAAGAAATATTACAAGTGCTGATCATGGAATATCGGGGCTTCCATGAAATTGGTAGGACCAGCAATTTAGTAAGATTTTTGTATGGTGCATTTCATGATCAAAAGATTGTGAAAATACAAAATCCCTCTGAGAGCTGTTTTAAAAGTTGCTGGTTGAAGTCATCGTTAAGTAAGTCAAAGGATGACCTTCATAACACAGACCTGAATTGTAATACTGTAACACAGAAAGAGATACATGTATTAGGTGATTCGTGCAGATGTGTGCATGTGATTATCATAAGTCAAAATAAACCAGAAAATATATAAAGGGTCCAGATAGCCGATTCTCTCACTCTCAAAATGGTCAAAATGTGCTTGTCTTTCCATTTTAAGGAATCAACCCATCATGTCAAAAATTAATAACAAAAATGCCATGGCATGTAATTTAAGCAGGATGGGCAAAGGGCATAAAAAGTACAGTTGCTGGTTTAGATTAATGGGTATGTTAAAAATGAATTATTGATTGCATCACTTTCCAACATTTCGGTCATATTTTTCAAACTGGTTCTTGTTTTGATGTGCTTCAAAGAGATAGAATGTGTGTATCAAAACCAATAATTCATTTTATAAACAATCCCAAAATTTATTTTCATATGTTGATAAAAGTTGTACTGAACCCACATAGCATTCTATAACCCTATTGCATCAAAAGATCCAACTCACTGATTTGTACAGTGCATATGTTATTGCAACTGCAAGGTGTATCTTATCTCTCTTTAACCATGTTTTCAGATATAATAATGATTTATTATTTTATTGTAATTTTTTCTGTATATAGGGTGGTGCTTCTATTGAACAGATTTTGTGTCTAATTATTTCTTTTATCATGATTGGTACATTTTTTGTTTCCGTTTTCAATATAGTATGCAGTACTATAAGATTATGTCAGTATTATTTGTAACACAGTGAACAGTGAATGGGACTTAAAGAATACTACTGCCATCCTTTCTTTTATTCTTTTTTTCTTCAGGACTGGCATGTAATCACTCAATGTTTGACTGTGTGACATTTCAACTTCTGTCTGATTTCTCATTAGGTCCTTTCTTATTTCACTGCTTTCTTTATAACTCAGAATTTAGGATATTTTTCCTCTTTTTCTATTCTTACAATATCAGGATGATTAACATGGTGACTGTGAAGACTTGCTTTTTCCTTTTTTTCTCACAAAAGTTGAGCAAATACAAAATGGTGGATGTAAACTACTTGTTAATTTTGCAGTTTACTCTTTTGCTGCTGAACAAACAAACAACTACTCCTGATAATTACTCTAGTCTGGCCTCATCAGATATGTTTGGCATTATAATGTTGCTTTAGAAGTATAATACTGTACCATATTAATTCTTCCATTTGTTATCGAGTCAAACTGGTTGTAAGCTCAGCATTGTTGACGACCGACAGTTCTCTTTTTCCCAGTTCTTTAAGGAAGAAATTTTAGTCGTGGTGGTCATCAATTCATGTTGAAGATTTTATGTTAACAGGATAAGAGCAGGCACTTTCATTGGTTAGTTGTTTTACATTGACTTTGTTGCAGAATTTGGTTTCATGAAGGCAATTTGGAAGACAAATTATGAGACAGCAGTTTATTTTTGAAGGAAGAATAAGCTAGTCAGTGTATAGCAAAAAAATTGTTTTGAGTAAGACCAAAATTGATTGCCTGTGTACACAAGACAAACTGACATGTTCTGTAACAGAGGAAAGGCAATGCCAACCTGAGTACAGTATTGTATTCAACCAGTTAGTGTCTACTTTTATCCAGTGATTATTAACTTTTCTAATATATATATTTTTGTTTTTTGTTTTTGTTTCTTTTTTATCAATTAATTGAGGGATAATAATATGCATTGCCAAGAAATTGACACAAAATACATTTCATACTTTTATAAAATGCCGGGCTTTATCCCCGTTTTCCCAGGCAACCCAAGAATGCCTGTGCGTATCCATATACAGTAGGGGATAAAACTCATTTAAAAATAAGTGTTGGAGTGACATCCCTGATCTTCACTCAACTCCACACCAGAATCACACAAAGCTGAGGCTACAAAGCTCATGCTAGTTTAATTTGCCTGGACACTGATCACCGGTGAAAAGTGTGCATTTTGCTGTCTTTATTTTTTTTCCCCTTTTTTTAATGTGAGACAGGAAAGGCAATTCTGAGCTTTGTGGAGATGCTGTCTTTTCACAAAAGAACTATGAAGAAAAGAAGAAATTTTTCAAAAAAGAAGACAAGCCTCAACCCAAATCAAAGAAATGGTTAAGAATTGCCGAGCTTGTCTGGAAGTACTTTACTGCTAATCCTACAACACTGTGGAAAATATATATATATATCTCGGCAATTAAATCATGCAAGGTTCTTCCGTTATATTGAGTGAATTATCAAAAATTACAGACTTTCATAATGGATATGCCTTAAGAAATACAAATCACATTTTTGTATATGAAAGATTAATCATATTTTTGTATGAAATTTTGGAAAATAATAAAAGTTTCTGCTGCTCATGTACTGATACACAATGGAGCTTCTCAGTTGTGCATATGTGTGTTGTGATGAGGGAAGGTGATCCTTAAGGAGATGCTACAAAAGGTTCATGATCGCTCGTCAAATCACATAAAAATCTTTGGGAATTTGAAAGTGAACACAAAAGGTAATGGTAATTGAGTACATTACTTGTGATATATTTTATATGAGTGTAATGATATGTACACTGCTAACAAAATAATTAAGTTTATATTTCGGTGTCTCTTTCAAGTACCCAATATTTTTTTTTTCTTCACTCAAGTATTTCCTTGAGAAACACCCTTGTATATATCATTTAAGAACAACAATCATGAATCGTTTGTCTATTTCATTACTTCTCTATGATGTAATTATGTATTTCTTAACATAAAATCTAAAAGACAAAGCAAAAATTTGTTTTATTTTACCCAGAAGTAAAGATTAACTTTGTGTGTATATATAATTTTGATGGATTAACAATAAAATATTCATTGTTTTAAGTATATTTATATTTTGAAGTAATAGCAGCAACAATCATACAAAATTTAAATTATCACAGTTAAACTAGAATGTAATGTACTGACTACATAATTATCACAAGATATTACACTTCAAAATAATCTGTGGTACATAGCACTTTGTGAAGAAAATAAATAATTTTTTTACATAAATAATTTTAGCCATCTATTACTATAAACACCTATTACTGATATGTATAAATACTATGGCTAAATGATATCAATTATCTTTAGAATCCTATCCCAAATGTGTCCCAGAATAGTAAAACTTTCCCGAAATAAATTCAAGTGCAAACTTGAATCCTGATTTCTTCCTTGTGCAGACTAGAAGCTTTTTTAATTAATTCTCTATATTTTTTATGTTAAAACTGACATATAACTCAACTTTGTCAATTTGAGTAAACATTTACAAAACCATAATAAAAGGTACCTGAAAAGATAATGTGGTAAAAGATTATTATTACTAGAGTCCATCTTCACTGGTTCTCTACATTTGCATACATTGACAATACTGCACATTTTTTGAGAAACTTGAAAATCTGACAGATTAGTGGAATTAATTAATAAAGCTGTGTACTGGTCATTCATTGGAAATGATACTATCTACAGAAGTACAGAGAAACTGGTAATATCATGGACTTATCACATCTTGCATTACTTGTACTTGTGCAAACATTTCTTCAGCGTCATTCCAAAGACCATATTATAAGGATGGACATACGTAGTGTCATTCCCATAATTATCAACAAGTTTACGACCTTCATTGGCCCATTTAAATATTGAGCCCTCCAGGTTAAATACTTGCACAGGGGTAGTGGGTTTCACATTATCAACTTGGGTTTTCAACTTTCTAGCCAAGTCAGAAGACCTGTATCCAAGGGAACAGTAACACACTATCTTGAGCTCCTCTTCAGGCTCCTTTTCGTTGAATGGCTTCAAGATCTCTTTGAGGAGTTCTTCAACTTCCTCTGCATTGAGGTCGTCCCTAATTCTCCTAGCCTTTTCGAGATGACTAACTTTATACTCGTCTTCCTCACGAACGTCAAGTAATATTATATTATCCTGATGCTTGAGTTCATTCGGTTCCCGAGATCTTGCTATTCCTTGCGACTCGGGAACCATCTCAGAGATTTCACTTGCAGAACCAGAACTCACAGTACTGTTTTGTGAGCCTAACCAGCTAGCAAGTTCCTCGGTACTAATGTGGGTTACGTCACTGTACTTGGTTCGGACAGCAA